GCCAAGCATATATCTAATTGTACTCGAGAAAGTCTCCTCCTTTGCAACATATAATTTCTATTTGTCCGACTCTCTCCCTATAGACGTCTCTTCTTCTCCTCCGCTGTTCCTTTGTATTTTGTCCCTCAAGGTTGTTAGTCTCCTATTTCTCCTCTCCGTCTACTTTTTGTCCTCTCTCGTTACCTCCTCCGCAAGTCGCTATGGCTTGAGAGAGCGATCCTATCGATATAGTTATAGCGCCGAGTAATCGTCTTGTCTCCCTTCGTGAGCGGCGACTTGGTGCCCGCGCAGTTGCGCTTCTCTCTTTGGGCGTATCCTTTCTTTCGGCTTCCTCTCGTCGGCTCTCCCTCCTCCGGAGGCAAGGCGGTCCCCTCGGCATACCGACTTTTTAGGTACCCTCTTCCGTTCCCTCTCTCTTTCTCATAGCCCCTCGGGCCCCTTCCCGGTGCTTCATGTGTTCCTCCCCCCCGTTCCCTTTTCTATTCCCCCGGGTTCCTTTTTTTTTTTCTCCCCGCATTTTGACCCTTCTTGTGAACCACCACTTTGGGCGGAGTTCTCTTGATGGCCGCGGGCGAGAGCGTGGTGTGTGGTTCCTCGGCCGTCGGGGGGGCGCCCCGGTGTCACGTCGCCGCGAACTGTCTTCCTCCGCCTTTCATCTCTTCTCCCCCTTTTTTTCGTGATCGGTTGCCGCCCCGTCCCCTCTCGCCGCTGTGTGTGTGCTTCCGCCTCCATCCGACACGGTCTTCTCCGGTCGGTCCGGCCTTGCCTCGAGCCCCTACCTCGCCACTCCTCTGCTGCAAGCCACTATCGACTAGTAAAGTTTGTCACTGTCTGTTGCCGACTGACCCAACTGTCCCTTTAACAACCCTTCCTGTTTCGTAGTCCTCCCCATTCCGTACCGGTGCTTCCGTTGCGCGCCTCGCTTTCTACTTCGAAAGAGCACGGTCACTCACGTTTATGCCTTCCACGGCTTTATTTCCGTCCCCGGCCTTCCGCTCTCTACTCGCCGCGCAGTGGCGAGATACTTTCACTTGCCGACACGAAGGCCGAGAGCCGCTGACCGCCCCGCGGAATCACCTCCGGCAGCCGACGCACCGCCCCCCGCGTTCCGCGTCGCGCGCCGCTCTTCCGCGCGCCCGGCCGCGGACGGTGCCCCGCTGCGCCTTCCTCGCTCGGTCAGTATTCCTCGTTCCTACTCGCCGGCATCCTCTTGCCGTCTTTCTTCTCATTCTTTTCAGTCCGGTCCACCAACTCTCCCTCTTTCTGGTTCCCCCCGCCCCGCTGGGTCCCGCCGCCCCTCCTCTCCTGCCGTGTCTCCCGCGGGCCGAGCTCTCTCCGGGCCCCCTAGTTCTTTTTTGTTGGTCTTCCCGGTCTCCTGGTTCGTCTTACCTTCAGTTGCTTCGGCAAGCTCTTCTTGCATCGGGCGTCCCCCTTTTCTCTCTCTCCTCTGACTCCTACCCCAGTCCCCGGTCGCTCTCTGCCCTCCTCCCCTCTTTCTATGCGTCGCCTCCCCCTCGCCGTCCCCCCCTCTCTAGCGGGTGTCCGTTTCTGAATTAGCGTGTCTCCGTCGTCCGTCGTTTTTCTCTCCGCCCTTTTCTTTTGTTCCCCCTGTTGTCCCCGCTCGGCGCCGTCAGCGAGTGTGTGTTGAGCTGCTTGCGCGAGCGCTTTGTGGCTCTGGACGTCCGGCCGCCTGAGGTCTCGTCCCTCCCTCGGCATCCGCGGCGCGGTTTTTTGTGGTTTGGAGGCCAGTTCCTTCCCCTGAACGGCCTGACTGGAACCGGAGCCTCCCGTAACTCTTACCGTCTTGCCCCTTCCTCGACTTGCCCCGGTCTGTCTGCCCCACTCGGAGTTTGCCCTGGGCTTTCTCGTCGACCCCCTCGCGTTTCCAGTGGCTGTGTGCCTTGCTCGCGGGTTGCCGCTCTCCTCCTTCCTCTCCCGCTCCGCCCTCGGCCTTTTCCCCTTCTGGTTGAGCTCCATGGGACCTTATTACGGAAGTTATGTATTGAAGTCAATGGAGAAAGAAAGATTATCTTTCGATCCCGTTTGAATTGTGCCACGAATTACACATATGATTTTTTTCGATTTAAAAGATAATTTTGCAAGTCAACAAAATAGAAATGTGTCGTAAAAATGGGAAGTAACACTTTTTCTTATGTGAAACCGCTCAATGAACTACATCTCCCGTCTCGCACCACACACCAAGACGGCAGTCACGTTGGCACATTTCACTTCTTTCTTTCAGAATGAGGCGGAAAGTATTAAAAGAGGTGAAAATCACTCCAAGTCTGGGCATGTTGAGAGCTGTACACACACTGAAGGGGAGTTAGTCGGTTCCGTAAGAGCCAGCATGCGGGACC